CCTTTGGTTGAAAGGGCCAGTCAGCCCACTGTGTATACAGGCAGGGAGTCTGAGGAAGGGATACCCCAACCTCACGCTCTTCCCTCCCATGTATCTGGAGGGACAAAACAAAGATAACAAACAATTATTTAACCTTTCTGAGTCTTATTTTTCTCATTTGTGAAAAAGGGAATAATAATATTTCTCTCTCAGAGTTTTTGTGAGAGCTAAATGAGAACTTAGAGCAGACGAGCTAGGCCCTCTTCCTTCACTTGATCTTCAAAACCCCACTGTGAAGTAGACAGATTTTATTAAAACCACTTTACAGCTGTAGAAAATGAGACGCTGAGAAGTTAAGTGACTTTCCCGAGGTCTCATAGCTAGAAAAGTATCAGAACTGGGACTGCAAACAAGATTTTTGAGTATACTCTGGGTTTCTTTCCCTAGACTGTTCTGTACCCCTTGATCCCCTTCTGCAGAAGGCTGCCACAGATGGTTTCTTCTTTCTAGAGCTGCCATACCCAGAGCTACGCTGACTCTGCTGTTTAGAGGAAAACTGATTGGCCCAGGAATCAGTGCTTAAGCCAAAAAAAAAAAAAAGCACTGATTGGTTATATATGAAGAAGGTCAAATGCCTATGAGGTGGTTTGATTTAAGTCTCTGACCAATATAGATCCCCATATCAGATGCTTGACAATCCACCTGGATATCTATTAGGTATCCCCTATATACCACACTGAAGTCGGAATTCTTGATTTCTTCTACCTCAAGACTGTTCTAACCCCAAATCTTCTCCTTTTAATAAAAGCATCACTAGCTACTCAGTGGTGCAAACACAAAACCCAAGAGTTATCCTTAATTCTTTCCGTTTCCTCCTGCCTTCCCTCCCTCATCAGCAAGTCTAGCTGACTTTACTTCCAAATACAGCCCAATTCAACCATTCCTCTCCATCTCCTGTTAGTACAAGCCACCATCATTTCTTGCCTGGCTTAACCTCCTGTAGAGTCTCATCCCTTCCACTCTTACCTCTCTGCAACCCATTTTCTGTTTTGCAGAGTGATCTTTACAAAATGTAAAATGGATCACGCTACTCCTTAGCTTGAATCCTCGCACAAGTCTCCCCTTCACATTTCCATGTCACGACTCCTTACCATGACTGTTAGGGCCCTACTTGTTCTGACTCCAGTCTCTCTCTTCATCACTACGCTCCCACCACACTCTCTTCTTTCTTTTCTTTAACAACCCCTTCCCTGCCTCAGGCCCATTGCACTTGCTTATTCTCTTTCCCAGAATGTTTTTTGTCCAGCCTTTGCATGGTTGGCACTTTTTCACTGCACAGGCGCAAATATTACCTTCTTAGAGACACTTTCCTTTACCATCCAATATTACTCCAGTGTAGTCTCTTCCTAGCACCTAAAATGCACAGACTAAAATTATCTAGTTGACTTATGATATTTATTATATGTTGCCCTGCCAGAATGTAAGCTCCCTGAAAACAGGGCCCTTGTCTGGCTTTTCTGTTTGTCCCTGCCTCCCTAGCATCCAGAACAGGGCCTGGCATATCACAGCCTCTCAATAAATCTTTTATTGCAGGAAAAGATAGTGAATGGGGACAAACCGAATATAATCAGTTACTCTCTCTGGGAAGTGTTTACTATGAGAAGCATGTTGAGACATCATCAGAGAGTAAAAGACGGTTTCTTTTAGATGACAAGATAACTGGATTACTAGAGCTGTTGATCCCTGAAAAATGATGATCCATTGTCCAGTTCTCCATGAGGCCATCAATATAGTAATGTAGGGAAACTAGAGAGATTAAATGGCTGCTGACAATCTCCAGACCTTCCCCATGTATCCTTACAATAAACCCCATAGACGAACGCAATGCCCCAGAGGCAGTGGAGGTAAATGTGTACCTGTAGGAGATCTGAGGTACGGCAGACTCCTGAAGATTTTAAAATTTCTTTAGTCTTCTATTTTATCTTAACATTTATACAAATTTGGGGTTCAGTATCATAATATATCTACGAATTTAAAGCATTTGTATGTTAACATATCTATCTGTATTTATGTTAACATACGAATGCTTTAAATTATTTTACCATTTGTAAAATCTGTGCTGCAGGAAAGCCACGCTTTCCGGGGTCTTTACATTCTCTGTGGCAATCATACCTCAGGGATACATTTTTGTAGTCTGAGAAGTTCTGGCATTTTTTTTTCCTTTGCAACCCAAGTACTCTTTTAGCACAATTAATTCATTCTTCAGTAAATATTTATTGAACATCCACTATATGCAAGACACTCTAAAAGGACTAAGGATACAACTGTGAACAAGATATGCATGACTCCTACCTTCATGGGAGTTACAGTTTAGGGAGAGAGAATGAGAAAAAAAGAGGAAATAAAAATATATTGTGGGACTTCCCTGGTGGCACAGTGGTTAAGAATCTGCCTGCCAATGCAGGGGACACGGGTTTAAGCCCTGGTCTGGGAAGATCCCAAATGCTGCGGAGCAACTAAGCCCATGCACCACAACTACTGAGCCTGCGCTCTAGAGCCCACGAGCCACAACTACTGAGCCTGTGCTCTAGAGCCCGTGAGCCACAACCACTGAGCCTGTGCTCCAGAGCCCACGAGCCACAACTACTGAGCCTGTGCTCTAGAGCCCGTGAGCCACAACCACTGAGCCTGTGCTCCAGAGCCCGCGAGCCACAACTACTGAGCCTGTGCTCTAGAGCCTGCGAGCCACAAATACTGAGCACACGTGTTGCAGCTACTGAAGCCCATGCACCTAGAGCCCGTGTTCCGCAACAAGAGAAGCCACCACGAGGAGAAGCCCACGCACCGCAACGAAGAATAGCCCCCAATGGCCGCAACTGGAGAAAGCCTGCACGCAGCAACAGACCCAATGCAGCCAAAAATAAATAAAATCTAAAAAAAAAAAAAATTAAAAAACATATATTGTGATGTTTGCTAAGATAAGGAAGGAAACTCAGGGTGACAAAATGTAAAAAAAAAAGGCACCTAACCCCGAAATAGGTGATGAGGACTGATTTTCCAGAATGAAATAATCTGAAAAACAAGCAGAAGTTAGCCAGGTGAAGAATGGGGGAGAGTATTCCTGGGTTGGTTTACACTAAGCCCTGGAGACCAGAGAGAGCACAGAATTTACAGGAGCCAATTCAGTGTGTTAGTTTCGTGTGCCTGGAGTAGGGAGTGCAGAGGAGAAAGAGAAGAGAAAAGCTAGAGAGGTAATCAAGGCAGGATATGAAAGGCCTATGCTAAGGACTTTCAGTGTTACCCAAAGGGAATAGAAAGTCACTGAAAGTCTGAGAGAGTCATCTTAGGAAGAACTGACTTATGTGTTTTTTTAAAAAAGATCACTCAGGGACCATAACTCTGTGTCTGGAAAAGAACAAGGACTCACTTACATTCGGGTAAGAGGTATAATTAGCAAATTTGGAGCCCCAAACTAATTGAACTGAGTCACCATCTTAATCTTTTCCCCTTAAAAGTATCTCTTTCCCCCCCAACTAACCACTAATCATCTTTGGAACTAATCAAGCTTCTCTGGCCTCTTCACTGTCTCTGGACTCCTAACTTCATTGCTGGGATTATAGCACTCCCTCAAGGAACAAATACTTTCCCAGTATGCTGCAACACACAAAGCACATGTGATTTTAAAGGCTAACATATTGTGACCTTTCTATTTGGCATTCTCCATCTGATATGCTAGTGGAGGCTACTACTAAGTTTTTCTCTGTGGAAACAGGAAGTCAGGAAAGGATTTGAGGAAGTTTGGGCAGGTTAATGATTATAATGGGAAAAGAATACAATTATAGTACTGAAGTGTTTCAACTCACTTGGTCATTCACTAAAAAACCCTTTGCTTGAGTTTTTCCGTTGGTCAGGTGGAGATGAAGATGCTGTGCAGGCTTCCAGGGGTAGAACCACTTAGACAGTGAGAGAAGGGTACTTTGGTAATGCAGTGGCTAAGCCAAGGAATAAACATGCACAACGCTGACCTACAGGTATTTGATGGGAACATTATCTAAAGCTGCTAGATATTTAGAGCAAGTGTTCATTTTTAGATAAGGAGCTGGTATGATGCCCATATAGCATTCAGAGCACATGGGCTGTTATTCCCTCTGTGGTCATTTTCTTGAAACTATCTCTTTTTTTTTTTAAATAATATTCTTTTTTTAAACCCCACATTTGTTTATTTATTTATTTTTGGCTGTGTTGGGTCTTCGTTTCTGTGCGAGGGCTTTCTCTCGTTGTGGCAAGCGGGGGCCACTCTCCATCGCGGTGCGCAGGCCCCTCACTATCGCGGCCTTTCTTGTTGCGGAGCACAGGCTCCAGACGCGCAGGCTCAGTAGTTGTGGCTCACGGGCCTAGTTGCTCCGCGGCATGTGGGATCCTCCCAGACCAGGGCTCGAACCCGTGTCCCCTGCACTAGCAGGCAGACTCTCAACCACTGCGCCACCAGGGAAGCCTGAAACTCTCTGTCTCTTGCTCTTTCAGAATTTGGGGGCTAAATATCTGTCGGTTAAAAATAGGTAGATTTACCAGCTGTAAGAATGACGACACCCAGCTTCCCAACTCCTTTAGGATTTTTCTGGTCTGTGGGTGAATGTCATTACTGAGCAAACCAATCGCGCGAGATGGGTATGAGAGAGCTCTCAACAAATGCTTACAACGAAGGGCATCCCAGACTGAAAACTGAACAGGATGAGAGGACACACAAGCATTTCCTTTTCCTGTCTCCATGTGACTCTGGAACGGTGGCGGGGGGGGGGGGACACAAGACGTTTAAAACCAGGACAACTCCAGAAGGAAAGGCCATTAGCTATTCCACTGCAATTCCCTTCAGTGCTGTTTCCTTACAGAATTTAGAAACTGGAGAGAGCAGTGGTTTCCAAAGTCTCAAAGGTGTCCCTTCTCCAACTTCTTCTCATTTTCCCTTCCTGTCCCATAACTACAATTTATTTTTTTCATAATGTTTTTGGCTTTCCCCTTACCTCAGCTTTCAAGAAAAGTCATTTGAGACATTCCTCTCCAAGCCCCACTGGAGAGCCCCTCAGATGCTCACACTCCAGTCCCAGTTTCCGCCAGTCAGTCTTTCAGGAGGGCTCAGCGGCGGAGACCCCCAGAGTGAATCGCCGACCCGCGCGCGACTTATCGCTTCACGCAGGGGTAACGACGCGAGACCGGGAGAGCTGACGGCCCAAGAGGGCCGCGGCTCCTTTAAAAGCAGGCCCCGCCCCTCCCCCTCCCGGCGCGGCTGGCGATCGGCGGCGGGCGCTACGGTGCTGACAAGATGGCGGCTGGCGGGGCTGTCTCTGCGACGCCCGAGTGCCGGCTTCTGCCCTACGCGCTACACAAGTGGAGCTCCTTCTCCTCCACCTACCTTCCTGAGTAAGTGCTTGGCCCTGGGCTCGGGCTGCCCTACTCCTCGGCGTAAGCACGGCTGGGCCAGGGGGGTTGTGGAGGGCAACCGCGTCGAGAGGCCCAGGCGGGGCCTGGTGAGGGGGACGCGCGGCCTCCGGAGTCTCAGTCCAGCTGCCGAGAGCGTTGCCCGCCCCCGCCTCCGGGAGGGGTTAGGATCCAGAGTGCGAGATTCGGGTGGAAGGGCAAGGTGTGTGGCGGGGCCGAGGCGCGTAGGACAACGGGGAGCCAGGTGATGCGGCGGCCGGGTTTGGGGGTTGAGAAGGGCTTGGGGGCGGGCGGCTCATGAAGGTGGAGCAGGAGTTGGGGCTTTCGGGACCGGACGGCGGGCAAAATGGTGAGGATGTCTAAGGGCGTCCTAGGTGGTGGGAGACGGGGGACGGTTAAGTCGATTGCTGCCGGGACAAAGTGTAAAGCTGAGAAGAGTGACTGTTCCTGGGGGAGGGGGTGGTGGTCATTAAAAGCGATTAGGTCCAGGGGAGTGGTAAAAGTCACCGACGGCTGAAGAGTTGTGGAACCTATCTATGCAAGTGGGGAGACGTTGTAGGATTTGCGGAGGGTATCTTTTCCGGCTGGTAGTTCTGAAAAAGAGAGTGGGCAGGAGGGACATTACAGAGGAGTTCCTCTGTATGATGGCTCAGAGCATGGATTTACGTAGACCCAGACCAGTTTCCCAGCCCAGAAACTCAGATATAGACAGAAAAGTATGACTTTAATGAATTTGACTTCCAACACTCGTTTGGTCTGGATCCCCAGTTTAGGTGTTGAAAAGAGTTCCAGTGCGTTACAGAAAAACCGTGCGTTTTTCTGTAGCAGATTGCTTCTGAAATGCTGACAGTACTTTCATTCAGTATTTGCTTATGTCTGAGAGAAGGAGCAGATCGAACTCCGCTTTTGCATACTGATAGAGATGGCTTAGTAAAGTTTTAAGATCTGTGCAGACCCTGAAAAAAAGTGCTAGCTGTCCCCCGGACCGTCATTTTACAAGTCCAGGAATGATTTTATGAACAAAACAAGTTACAAATAATATATTTTTGTTACTGAACAAAGTGACTAGATATGTGACGCATACTCAAAAGTCTTCCACTTATATTTCAAAAAGTCTTCACATTTTCTCCAATTTGATTTCTCTGGTCAAATCAGTCAAATCTAAAATTGGAGCTGTGACTAGGAGAATCTAACTCTCTTGACTGCCGGCCCATTGTCCTATTCTCCAGGTCAAGGGTTGGCAATCAGGCCTTAAGTAGGATGTGGTTCAGTGAGGGGTGCCAGGTGACCTGTGACCTAATCTGGCCTGTGTGGCCTGTTGATGGCTGCTGTATGGCTGTGTCCCTGATTGATGCTGGCATCCAGCTTTTAATGTGAGAGTGAACCAGGTAAACATTCTAGCCCTCAGCTGGAGTTGAAATGTGGCCCTAGGTACTTGACTTCTGATTTTCAGGGCTTAACAAATTGAGTCTGAAGGTAATCAGAATTTTTCTATACCCAGGTTAGGATCACAGATAGTTGGGAACTGGAAGGGCATTGTTTGATCTAATAACTCTGGAGATATTTTCCAGGTCTTAAGTTAGACTACTTCCAGGGTTTCACTTCTTAAATTTCTGTCGTAGGGGTGAGACTTGGATATCACAAGTCCCATCCGAGTTATGAATAAAAAAGAAAAAGTACATTTCAAGCAGGAAATGATTTAGTGGGATGGCGACTTTACTTTTTTTTTTTAACATCTTTATCGGAATATAATTGCTTTACAATATTGTGTTAGTTTCTGCTGTATAACAAACTGAATCAGCTATATGTATACATGTATCCCCATATCTCCTCCCTCTTGCGTCTCCCTCCCACCCTCCCTATCCCACCCCTCTAGGTGGTCACAAAGCACCGAACTGATCTCCCTGTGCTATGTGGCTGCTTCCCACTAGCTATCTATTTTACATTTGGTAGTGTATATGTGTCAGTGCTACTCTCTCACTTCGTCCCAGCTTACCCTTCCGCCTCCCAGTGTCCTCCATTGACAGATGAATGGATAAAGAAGATGTGGCACATATATACAGTGGAATATTACTTGGCCATAAAAAGAAACGAAATTGAGTTATTTGTAGTGAGGTGGATGGACCTACAGTCTGTCATACAGAGTGGAGTAAGTCAGAAAGAGAAAAACAAATACCATATGCTAACACATATATATGGAATCTAAAAAAAACAAAAAAAAAGGTTCTGATGAACATAGGGGCAGGACAGGAATAAAGAGGCAGCTTTACTTTGACTTATGTCTCATTATCCTGGCGCTAGATTTGAAGTGGGCAGCATTCTAGTTTTGGAGTTAGAAGGCAGCCGTTTGAAATAGGAGAAATCTGTTGTTACGGTTTTCTCAAATATATTTGTAAACTAGCGTTTAGTGCGTATTTAACTCTCAAACACTTTCATATACAGTGTTTTTAGTCTTTATAATATTCTGTTGACTTATCCAGTATAGTTTTTATTTTAAAGCACTAAACTATTATAATAGAGGAGTAATCTGAACTTTTTCTTTGAAGGAGTATAGTTGAGTATTATGGAGCTTGAGTTTGAGAGTTTTGTGTCTGCTGGATTGGTGTGTGCCATGCCTGGACTTCTAATTGCAAGTAAGGATGGCACTGAACTTCTATTAGCAAGTGAGGATGTTATAACTTTGTATAATAGGAAGTGTGAGAAAGGGATTGACTTTACTTACTTTTGCCCTAAAATCCTAACAGCAATTGCTCTATCTTTACTGGCAGTGACAGTCATGTTAAAGTACTTTTTTTTTTTTTTTTTTTTAATTTATTTTTGGCTGCATTTGGCTCTTTGTTGCTGCGCGGGCTTTCTCTAGTTGAGCCGAGCGGGGGCTATGCTTCTTTGCGGTGCGCGGGCTTCTCATTGCGGTGGCTTCTCTTGCTGTGGAGCACAGGCTCTAGGCATGCGGGCTTCAGTAGTTGTGGCACAAGGGCCTAGTTGCTCCACAGCATGTGGGATCTTCCAGGACCAGGGATCAAACCAGTGTCCCCAGCATTGGCAGGCGGATTCTTAACCACTGCGCCACCAGGGAAGTCCTTAAAGTACTTCATAAACAGGTGTAATTTTAAGTAAAGCCTTTTGTTGAAATTGTCTACAGAATAGCAAATATTTATTGATTACAAGTCACTGATCAAGGCATTTTGAGGGGATAATAATAAAGCAGTAACAACAATGGGAAACATTTATAATGTGCCTTCCATTTGCTAGGCTCTCTTATGAACACTTAAGTGTATTATCTCATTTAATTCTCAAAACAATTATATGAGTAATCTTCATTTTCCAGCTGAAGAGACAGGGAGATGTTAAAACTTGCCTCAGGTCACACTGCTGGATGGAATCAGGATTTGAACCCAGGTAGTCTGACTCCAGATTCTGTGGTCTTAACTGTAGAGCTGATCTGCTTCTGCACAAAGGTGGAGACAAGAATTCAGAGATTTGAAAGAGTTCTTGTGTTAAAGGCACTTACATTTTAGTTGTGAAAGACATGAAGTCATGAAAAAAAGAAAAATTCGGATCTCTATTTTTTTCTTCTGCAGACTTAAAAAACATTTTCCTTCTCTCAAAGTCAGAAAAGAACATTTTCCCTTCTAACCCTTTTAGATTTATTTGGACTTTAAAAATGTTAAAGCAGATCAAGTTATAGATAACACATTTCTATTTTGAAACTAATGAAGTGGCCTTTTATTTTTCAGTGTGGTTAAAGTTTGCTTGTATTTTACTTTTTTCTGAAGTTTACAGTTAATTTGGGAATTAAGAGAGATGTGTCTATGTAAATGATGATTAATTCTTAGAATTACATGCAGTCTTATATGTAAAAATATTTTTTAAACTGCTAATCTCTATACTCAAATGTTTATTGCTCTAGCTAATAGTGATACTAACTACAATTTATGGAGCACTTACTGTGTGCAAGATGATTTTTGTATATAGTTTTACCTAATCCTTACAACAAACCTACAAGATAGGTATTGTATCTATTTTGTATACGAGGAAACTGAGGTCCATATAGGTTAAGTAACTTACCCAAGGTCATTTAGTTTTCAGGAGGCTTGGCAAGTTCTCGGACTTAAAAACTCTTGCGTGTGCCTCTAGTAACAACCACCGCTTGAGTACCTTCTATTTGTCAGGCGCTATGCTTAGGACTTAGATTGTGTTCTTTTGATTTCATATTTATAAAAACTCTGTGATAAATATTATCATTCACTTTTACAGCTAGGGAAACTGAGGTTCAGAGAGGTAAGTTAAATTGTCCAGGTCTAAGAGTTGAAAGGGTAGGAGATAGGACTCTGATCTTGGACCTCCTGACTTCTGTTATCAAAGAAGAATATTGCTGCTTCAGTATTTTACATGGCTGTAATATGTTCCTAATTGGGAATACAGATAAAAAGTGCTATAAGGTGAGAATGGAGAGAGGGAAAGATATTTAGATATATTTTATCTCGACCTTTAAGGTTTTAATGTATTAATATAAAAATTGGGAGGACCTTTGAAAGTATATTTACACATTAGGTAATTTTATTGTTGTAGAATGATCCTTCTTTTGTTTACATGTTAGTGAAAGACTTCATTAGTTTAGATAGTAAAATTGGATACATTTTTAAGTGTTTACCTTTTTCCTGTTAGTCTACTTTATTACTTAAAATCAGACATTAATTAAAACTGTACCTTTGTGAATATGTGGTTCATGGTTCAGAGTAAAAGTGATATAATTTGACAAGTAGGTTAGGAGGTGAACCTATTTCAACTATTGTAAAATTCCACATTTAAAAGTGAATATATATTTTTTCTAATTGCCAAAAAAACCCCACCCTAAGTTACTTGAGGAATATTTGCAAAATATAGACCCACAGAAGCAAAATTTAAATTACCCTTAATCCCACCACCAAAAGATAACTAATCAGCCTGTGATATATATCATTCCAGATATTCTGTTGTGT